CCTGTTGGTCTTCCAGTTTCCCATTTTGAATGACGAACACAGACTATCGCCACCAGCTGGTGTGGCGAGTTAATTCCTCTCACGTAGGCGCACAACATACGTGCTAGTTGGCTGCAGTCTTTGCGGTGTGTTCATGTGCATCTTCTTGGTCGAGACACAGGCGACGGCCTTCATCGGCACAAGTTCTTTGATGTCTGTTTGATGTGTCTGGGCCTTAAGGACAAATCACACTCTTAAGAGCTCACAGACTTAATTATGCAAACTGTGATGAGTTGTTGCAAGTAGGCACTGCTCGGTTATAAAAGCTAACAAGCCAAAAAAAGTACAGGCAACACAACACACAGACCCTCTCAGCCTGTAACACATATTTACACTCATCTCATTAATGTAAAGCTGAGCAGATAGAGCACTTCCTGCCCACCCACATACACACACGACACACACACTGTTAAAAACACTAAGTGAAAGGTGTTCACACCCTCGCATTTACAATTATGATGTGTAGCATTGTGGCGTGTACAAACATGCTCTAACTGCCTTCACAATAAAACTGTACCACTAGTGGATATTTACACAATGACATCAAAACGCCCCAAAATAAACTTGTCTGAACATATTGTGCTTGTACTCCCTCGGCAACTACTTATCATGGATGTGATGTATGACTCAGCAACCCCCCCCCCCACCGCCCCCTCCCCCTTCCTTCCCTTTACACACACCTTGTGACACAAGTGCAGGAGCATGTACTTATCAGTATTTAAACAATGCAGATTTGGGCTAAAAAAAGAAAGTTGGCATCTTGACCTCTGTCATAAAAGCTCATTTCCAGAGAAGGTAATTCAGTACATCAGTTATCTCAGTGCCCGCAAAGTTGCACTGCAATTACGGTAATGACAACATGCTTAACACAACAAGGATATGCTTTTAAGCTGTCATTACTGAGTGAATTGCAATGTTGTTGCACTGCTGCACGTACACTGCAAATTTCAGGGTCAGAGAAAAAGCAGGCGGAAGAAAAATCAGCGAAAGAGCAGCTTAAAGGGATACTTTACAGATTTTCTACCAGCGTTGTATAATAACAATGTGGGCAGTATGTGTAAATGAACTGTGGTAAACTTCCCCCCATCTTACCAGCACCCAGATCTCCCTGCTCATCTCCTAACTCAAATCTGCCGGCTCCAGGGTTGTTGAACTACAGGTTGAAGCACCACAGTTTTGTATACCTGCCACCACAGGCATAAAGAGTACAGAGGCGGATTGAGAGAGAAAGAGAGAACCGCCTCCCTCTCCCCTCTAACTTTTCACAAAGAGTATAGAAGCGGATCGAGAGAAAACCACCTCTCTCTCTCGATCCACTTCTATATTCTTTGTGTAGAAGCAAATTAAAAGAAAGATGCCCCTTACTCTCTTTCGTGATCCACAGCTCTCTCTTGATCCGCTTCTGTACTCTTTGTGTAAAAGAAAATCGAGAGAAAGAAACGCCCCCTCTCTCTTGAGCCGCAGCTCTCTCTCGATCTGCTTCCATACTCTTTGTGTAGAAGCAAATTAAGAGAGAAACACCCTCTCTCTCTTTCTTGATCCACAGCTCTCTCTCTCTTGATCCGCTTCTGTACTCTTTGTGTAAAAGAAAATCGAGACAATGAAACGCCCCCTCTCTCTTGAGCCGCAGCTCTCTCTCGATCTGCTTCCATACTCTTTGTGTAGAAGCAAATTAAGAGAGAAACACCCTCTCTCTCTTTCTTGATCCGCAGCTCTCTGTCTCGATCCGCTTCTGTACTCTTTGTGTAAAAGCAAATCGAGAGAAAGAAACGCTCCTGTTTCTCTTGATCAGCAGCTCTCTCTCTCGATCACCTTCTATACTCTTTGTTTAGAAGCAAGTCAAGAGAGAGACGCCACCCTCTCTCTCTCAGTCCGCTTCTATACTCTGGGTGGCTCTCTCTTGATACGTTTTTGTAGAAGTGAACTCAGATAAATCGGTACAACTAGGCAGTGCTGATGAAATACAAATGAAGATTTTTTTTATTGTATTGCCTATTTCTCAGCTAAAATTTCTCCAGAGACATATTTTAGTGCACTGTTTGGCTGTAGTATGAGAGTTTGTTAACAGGAAGTGGGCACCATACTGTTTCCTGTATTGTAAAAACGTGGGCTGAACATACTGTTATTGCGTTGCCTCTTTCTAACCTAAAATGTTTTCAGAAACATCTTTTACTGTACTGTTGTGCTGTAATTCAAGATTGGTTGTTACAAGCTGGTCGCCATATTGTTTCCCGGCCAATCGTGCATTACGTAGCCCAGCAGCAGGGGCTTTTATTGGTCTGGTGCAGCACAGTGTATTCTGTGCCTTTTGAGCTAAAGCAAATGCCTCAGCTCTTTTCCTGTGTTTCCTCCGTTCATATTTGTATCTTTCTACTGCACTGAAATTCTTCTGTAATAAAATTTTCTTCTCTGTACTTTTTGTAGCCATTATCAACATGCATCTCGCGTCAAGACTGACTGTTTAATTCACGTGGATCACATTTGCACCTGCCATCAAAAAATGCATTTCTATGATGATCTTTTAAAATCAGATTTCCCCCTCCTTTGCACAAACCTCTGCACGCACCGCTTCTCCCTACATCCTTTAAAACTGACAGTTAACACCTTGTTGAGCACCTGCACAATCCGTTTGTGGCCAATTCCTGCATACAAAGGTAGTTAAAATCTGCAGATTGGGGGATGAATTGCAGTTTTTAGTAATGCGGACAAATGTGTCCCAGACCGTGTCCGGAGGTGCTTTAGGTGGCTGGTTTTTCACTGCTTTTCTTGGTTCATTAACACCTGGGTTTCATGTGCTTCTGCTCCACCTGATTCCAATCTGATTTCTGTCCCTCACTCGCCCCCACCCCCTTTTTCCCCGCATCCACTGTTGCACCTTATCTCCTTCTCTCCATCTATCCAAATTTTCTTTATTGGCATGACAGGGCCGGTGGTTGGCGACAGCCACCGTCACGGTGGAACAATGCATTGTGATGGTGATATTCATATGATAATGCCATCAGACTTAACACTGCTGCAGATACATTTAGAAACCCGAGCCCTTTCTTTTTTTCCTTTCTCTCTGTATTTCTCTGGATGTATATTTGTGTGTGTTGACTTTTCAAATGATTTTAAAATCTCTTGTTCCCTCTTCATGTTATGCCCCAGCCTGCCACTCCACCACTCTGATTTCTCTCCTATTCTCTGTTCCAGCATGTCTGTCGCTTTACCCTATTTTTCTTCCCCCCTTTTCCCCTCAACACCATGCTGGCAATCGCATTAAATCATTTTCATTCACATGGCTTCTGACAATGTTTTTTTCTTTTTTTAACGCTGCCCAGTTTGTAACTGCACTGTATGTTTCTCTCTGTCTCTCTCTTTCTTTCTCTCCGTCTGCCTCCTTTCTCATTTTTTGCTCTTCGCCATGTTGGCAGGGCCCAATCTACCAGCTGATATCAGCATTCCCTGGCACTCTGCCAACTGGCAACACTGCAGGAGAGAAAGAAAGAGAGAGGGAGAGAATGAAAGAAAATTAGTGAATAATAGACGGAGGGAGGGAGCGAGAGAATGAGAGGGGGATGGGAGGAGTGTGAATCGGGGGGAAAAAGAAAGGCAGAGGGGAGAGGAAGACAGAGAGAGAAAGAACAATAATGGTGGATTAAGAAAGGACTCAGTGTGTGCGAGTGTGTGTCTGTGCTTGTGTGTGTTTATGTGATTGATATGGTGTGATATCCCTGTGAGTCATAGCTGAGCTAAAATGTCAACTGGCTACATGAGAATCTCTTTGTCATCCAGGCTCAGTGACACACACACACACACACACACTCACACACAAACCCAACTGATCATATAAACACATATGTGACCATACTGCCGCGTGAACACAAATATGGGCAACACACCTGCGAACACAGATGTTCCATTGTTTTGCCACAATGATTGATGACCTTTTGTTTTGTTTGCGGGCGCCTCTGCTGCTTCTCAACTCCACCAAATGATGGACGAAAACAGCCGATGTGCATAAATCCGGTCTAACTGATGCAAACTGCTGTGCACTCAAAATATTTGGGTGTGTGAGCGTGCTTGCCAAAAAATGCTTGTGTGTTCAATATGCTGTATATCACACTTTACATTTCAGCTGACTCTTGTTATCTGCAGCCAGTCGACACAACAGTGGAATAAGCTTTGTACATTACTTCAACAAGTAACCATGACTAAGCAGGGTCAAAGCCACCACACCCAGGCTGTAGATTTAACAAACATTGTTGTGCATAAGTGCATGCATACTGTACATGACTGTGTGTGTGAGTGTGTGCATACACTCCTGATTTAAGCAAAAAGCTGCTACTGTATGAGTGCACAGGAAGGGCGTGTGGGGAAGTCAAAACATCGCGCGCCCATCCTGTTTGGGACAGTCCATGTCCTGTGGTGGTGCCCTTAACTCCTAAACACACACACAGATACACGCCAATGCACATTCACACTCCGGCTAATCATCCCATATGTGCTAACAGTATGCTGGAGCGCATTGTGAACGCACGCAGGAGGCAGAACAGGTGCACACCTGTTACACATTGAAGCACATGCATAGCGCACACCTACACAGACTGAGGAGTAAATGAAGATCAAATGAAGATTTGCTTTTGTGCTTAACATTTTCATGCATTAAAACACATGCAAAAAAAAAGGTGCCGTAATGCGTTTGATTCTCTGCTATTAGCATTTATGATGGAATATATTCAAAGGGTCTCGGAGCAAATTGGTTTTTATCCCGTTTGACAAATATCTGCTACCTGCAGTTCATCACTCAATATTTCAAAAAGCATTTACGCCTACATCAACACTGATATTGCTAATTAAGTAAAATAAAGTCTTGAGTTAGATAATAGCTACAATAATGTGCCGATATGTGTTTTTAAACTCATTTTTTTTTATGATTGCAAATACCTCATTTTTAAAATTTTGCTTGTTTTTGTCCCCAGAAAATTAAAGGAGGAGGCTGCCACAGAAGAGTGTCCCCTGTCAGCCAAGACACTAAAGAATGGCATAACATCACACACACTTCTGGTAATTCTCTACTGTTCTCATACACATGCATTCACCCTAACCCTAACCATGGACCTACTTATCTATTTACTTATCAGCAGTCACCAGGTTCTTTCTTCAGAGACCCTGGGGGATGGGAGCATTGTTACTAAATGACAATGTTCCTGTTGCCCCAGTGCAGTGGCCCAGTAACCTCAGATTTTATCTAAAATTTTGAATTATTGTAATGTTTATGGGGCTCTTCTAACCCCTATCAGGACTCATAAAAGGACATATTTAAGTAGATCCCATACTACCACTCCCCGAGAGCCCCTGCCCCTTGGAGTGCTCTTTTCAGAGTGCTGCGTTTTAACCTCAACCTAACCCGAACCCTCTAACCCTAACTCTAACCACATGCATTCACGCATATGAACCTGTTAGGCAAACTAATACTATTTGTCTATTTCTTGGCTGTTTTCCAGATCTGGTCAAGGTCATGTTACAGTTGAAGATAATTATGCACAACATGCAAATTTAACCTTTCCTCCAGGTTTTTAAAGTTGTGACTCCTCTTAAGTCATCAGTTCCACTCACTATCTGTATCTCTCCTTCTCTCTGTGTTTCATACTGATAGAGGATGGATTCTCCGCCAGAGTGTGTGTTGTCTCTTTCTTGTGAGCAGCCCCAGTCTCCCCCGACACTGCCGTCCCTGGACCACAGCCCCCAGGCCTCTTCTCCTCACACCCAGCTCTCTCTACCTGACAGCCCGGTCGTGCTGCCCATTCAAAGCCCCGAACCTTCCCCCCAGAGCCCGGACACCACACCTTATTTCCCCCTCTCTCCCTTCCCCCTCCACGAGGACAACAACAACAATCACCACGATATTGATGAAGAAGATGACGAGGAAGGGCTGGATGGAGTACCTCCATCCCCGACCCCTGCGGTGGCTCTGTTCCCAGGAGGAGGGGGACAAGAGGCTGGGTGCAGCCCTTGCTTGGACTCCTCTCCTCCAGCCACACCATCCGCTCCGGCCCTTGGGTTTGGAGCCCTGGAGCTGGCCCTCTCATCTGGGCCGAGTGGAAACTGCAACGACGAGCTAGACCTCCAGCTGTTTCAGAAAGATACTGTCACCAGGGCGATACCTGGAGTGGGAGCGGCTTCACCGGGGCCGGCGCTCAGGTTTCCCTGTCATGTATGTGGGAAGAGATTCCGATTCCAAAGCATTTTGTCTCTTCACGCCCGAGCTCACAGTCTGGACCGAGACCGCCGAGCTTCAGCCCTGTACCGTACTGGACTCCCCTCAGCACCTCTAAAGCAGCACCTCAAAATCCAACAGAACCACAAAGACTTAATACTGAATCACAGAAGTCACCCAAACCAGCGTATACTGCCAGGGACTCTCATCCAGCATCTCACAGAAGAAGAGGATGATGAGGTCAAAGGTCTAGATGACGGCCTACACACAGACCAGAACCCAAACTTTTTGCTGGATGACAGCACACCTCTGACCCCTCCACTTACAGAGGACCCTGTTTCTGTGACCCCTCCCTATTCCTCTACCATTGGGGAGGGTGCGTCTACTCCTTCAGCACCCACGTTCCGCTGCCATGCCTGCAAAGGAAAATTCCGCACGGCTTCGGAGTTGGCACGCCACGTCCGCATTCTCCACAACCCGTATAAATGCACTCTTTGTCCTTTCTCTGCCAGCCAAGAGGAGAGCTTGGCATCTCACTTGCAGGAGTGCCACCCTTCCCCTGAGGTACCTGCTCTGCCGCCGGCCTTCAATTCCAGGGCGGTCATTGCAACCCCAGATACTCCTGTGCCCACCCCAACCCATACCCCAGCCCCGACCCCAAGTACCCCGCAGGTGACAGTGGTAGCTACAGCGGCTGCGTCCCCTACACTGCCAGCATTTCGCTGTGATACTTGTGGACAGCGGTTTACCCAGTCTTGGTTCCTGAAGGGACACATGCGAAAGCACAAGGACTCCTTGGACCATAAGTGCCAAGTATGCGGCCGTGGCTTCAAAGAGCCTTGGTTCCTCAAAAACCACATGAAAGTACATCTCAACAAGCTTGGGCTGAAGGCCGGGCTGGGAACCCTTGGGGGACCGGGAAGTGCGGAGCAGCAAGCCAAAGGCTCTGCTAGTAATCAGTCTCTCAACGCCCTCTATTCAAGCCTCCTTCTGGCCCAGCAAAGAGGTGGGAGAGGTGGACAAGGAAGATCAGAGAGGGAAACTGGAAGCAGAATGGGGATGGGCTCGAGCAAGTCAGCCATCCTGGGATACCTCGGGCTGCCCAGTGATGGGAGTGGGGCCAGCTGCATGGAGAGACTTCAAGCAGTGGCTCAGGTGGCAGAGATGGGCAATGGTGGTGGTGGCTCAGGAGAAGGAGGCCCAGGAAGAGGAGGGGGAGCAACTAGAGGAGGCGGCACAGGTGAAACTACCGCATCAATCTCAGAAGGAGGTGACCAGGCAACTTGGTGGCAGCTGGTGGCTCGCAGCCTGGCTGTAGCTCAGCAGCAACAGCAGCAGAGGCCCCAGCAGCGAGGCCAGCAACACAGCCAGCGAGGCCCCGGTCGGAGCTCTGTGATCACAGAGGCCGAGCAAGTCAGAGCCTACCTCGGAGGCCTGGATCCAAGAGAGGAGTCTGGCGGAGCTGGAGGGCCCTGGGAATGCCCAGACTGTGGAAAGCTATTCCGCAGTCTGCAGCAGGTGGTGGTTCATGCTCGCGTTCACACTCAGAGGCCCCAGAAAGGAGGCGGCGGCGGCGAAGAGGAGGGGAGTCGTAGAGCAGCAGGGCTTGGAAGAGGAGGCAGCGGTGAAGTAAGACAGGAATCTCAGCTACATGGTGGCGGATCCCAACAAACGGGGGAAGTGAGACAGGAATCAAAACTGCACAGTGGTGGATCACAACAAGTAGGAGCAGCTACGGGGTTTCACTCTGTCATCTCAAGCTTCAAAGGTACACTCACGTGCGCTTTTCCTCTATTTCGACTTTTGGGTTACGTTTGTTTGCTCACATGTAATGGTGTTTTTATCACAAGAGCATATTATTTTCATACTGTTTTTCTTCAGTTGTAAATAGAAGCTCTCATGGGGCCATTCACACCAGCTGTTATCTTTACATTTTTCTCCACTTGCAGGAGAAAATGGCCTGACAGCAGTCTCCTCCATACCTTCAGTTCCCACCAGGGAGCGAGTGCGTGGCAGAGGGATAAAAGACTGCCCCTACTGCGGTAAAGCCTTCCGCTCTTCACATCATCTCAAAGTGCACCTGAGAGTTCACACAGGTGAGAAGCTGCTGTGAGTTTAACAAACCACATTTACTTTTTTTAACCTCTATAAATCCCTGGAAAGGTTTTCATTATGCATCCTCACTTTAGCAGCGCTACCTTTTTTTCTTTTTTACACGTTCACCCCAGAGAGCTGGCCAGTGCTAATCATAGCCCTCTACTGCAGGCAGCCGAGCAGCCCCACCGGAGCAACTCCTGGTTAACTGCCTTGCTCGAGGGTATATTAACAGTAGTTGTTGAGGAAAAATCAAGCCACTCCAGGGATTCAATTTGGTAAAATCTCAGTAGAAAGCTCACTTCTCTCACTAGCCAGTCACTCCCAAAAAAGGTACAGAAAACACTTAATTTTCCCCAAGTAATTAACTCTTTTTTGGCAAGTTCATTAACTCAAAATTGTGCAAAGTAATTTGTCTTTTTAAGGTAAACTATATTGATTCCCGGTGTGGGGGTTCGAACCCATGTTCTCCCCATGTAAGTGTGGGTTTTCTCTGGGTGCTCTGGCTTCCTCCCACAGTCCAAAGACATGCAGGTTAATTGGTGACTCTAAATTGTCCGTAGGTGTGAATGGTTGTCTGTCTCTATGTGTCAGCCCTGTGACAGTCTGGCGACCTGTCCAGGGTGTACCCTGCCTTTTGCCCAGTGTCGGCTGAGATAGGCTCCAGCCCCCCTGCGACCCCTAACAGGATGAATGAAAATAATGATTCTCACATAAACAGGACATCATGAGTATATAGTCACAGATTTGACCTTGATAACATTTTTTTGCCTTTAATCTCACAGATTCACATTCTCTGATATTTGAAACAAGTGAATCTGTAATTGTTCCTCTTAAATTTACCTCACATAGTTTCTCAATAATTCTGACCGTAGAGCAGAAACACAGGACACTCCAGCAGACTCTAACAGGCTTTACCCAGACTTAAAAAAAACAAAACCAATGAAAATGAGAAAAAAAGCCTCATACTGAATTTCTGGTGATAAGTGAGTAGGATTTTTAATGAAAATTGGGAACTCTCACAGCACTCACTCACACTCTTAATTAATGATCCATATTCATAAGACTTTATCAGCACGAGTCATTGCCGTTTTTTTATTATTTGCCTTCTTCACTTGATGTATTTGATCAAAATTAAGACCCTTCTTCCTTTTTTTTTTGAGATGCCACCAATCTCCAAATGAAAGGTAACTGGAGCACATCCAAGTCTTTCCAGCAAGACGTTGCCCAAAATGCATTCAATGAAATCTATTTGAATATTGCCATTATGAGTAATCGTCTATAACTGACAGGACCTATCACATCACAGCTGTATTATTCATGATAGCGCACAGCTCTTTCTCTCTCGTGCACTATTGCTTCTCTGTGCCATCAAGTGATTACCACATGGTCAGTAATTTAAATGAAGGCATCAAATTATAATAATACTCTCTTGATATTACTGTCCTCTTGAGATTATTACCCCTTGAGACTTATATCCCTTTTTTTTTTTTCTTCTTCTTTTTTGCTCCGGCAACAAAATCAAATTGTTCACATTTTCGCATGTACATCTGCATACATCAACAGAGCTGTGTTCCTCTTGTGTGTTTTTTTTGTTCTTGTGAATAAGATCATTTACGCTTTTCATATGTAATGCATTTCCTGCTGTTGATGTGCCTCCAGCATGATGCCCCCCCCCCCTCCTTTTTATCGCCGCCAGCAGTGTAATTTTTAATCAGTGATGGAATACTGCCATCTCCCTTTAAAATGCACAACTACAGCTCCCACTCAACACTGTTTAAAGGACCATACCAGTTATTAAGCAAGTCACTGCTCAACATTTTTTTCAATAAATGCTGTACTGTTGCAGTTTTCCATATATAAAAATGTATACATGAAAAATGGTTTAAGTTTGCATGAATTGTAGTAATAAGCTAAAACACTAAAAATCAGTGGTTCCTTTAAAGGTATACTAGGCAGTTGTTGTTTACTATTCGTGAAAATGCTCGCCAGCGAAAGTGAAAGTGGAAGCCAATCCCAGATTTGCTTTTGTTTGCCGTTTCGCCTCGCTATATTTGCATATTTCGGCACTGTGATTCTTGAATGCGTGCTGCTCATGGTCTAGCACCTGGTCACTACTGTTACCTCTTTCAGTGACAGCTTACTGGCTCCAAACTGCAGTTGGCTTATTAACTTATGGCTTATTAACATTAATTAGCTCGGCTCGTTATAAGCTGGTAACTAGCTTTTTGATGGCGAGGCGTTCAGGTGCCGTTCACCAACAATGGCTTTACCGCAGTCATTTCATGAGGTTAAGCTGTAGCTGTAGATGTACTACACACTTCTAGTGAGTCATAAGAGATGATTGACAGGGATTACTTCTGTATGAGTCTCACCAAGATGTGGCGCTAACAACAACGAATACTTCTGGGCAGACAACTGCCAATTGATTTGAACTGTGGACATAGATGAAATAGGCACACTTGTTTATTTCTGCTGTCATTGTCAGCCATAACTGTAACGTTTAAAGATATATATCTAAACACAATAGTCTGACCTGTGCTTATTTTTATACCGAGTTGCTTTGCTATCATGCTATAAACCAAATCTACCAACACGGATGCTAAACAATGTATGTATTTTAGCCATCCGAAAAAAGTCTCACGTAGGCAAATCAATATTATTGCAATTGACCACTATATTTAGAAAATTTTCTCAGCTTTACCTTACACACTAACCAATCGAGGCAGCGGTAGACCAGGACTTCCAATTTTATGCAAAGTAAAATGACTGTTTTTGGCAATGGAGTGGCAATGGTGGATTTGAGATAATAGTTTGAGTTCCCTGTCAGAAAATGACAACAATAGTGGCATCTCTCATCTTGTAAGGTGAAGAAAACTTGCCCCCATGGTGAACAAAGAATCCAAAAACGGAGAAAAGATTTCATGAATTGGAGTAAAAGAGGGCCCCTTTTAATGAAATGAAAACATCCTTTTAAAATCTCTTACAGAGCTTGTGCAGTAAAATGCAAATCTCATTTGTCCAGTGATATTCTCAGTGCTTTCCAAACATGACATAACATAACATAACATAACATTTATCTTTACAGACCAATACCATTTCCCCACCCTTATTTTGTTCGTCTTATTGTCTCTAGGTGAGAGACCCTACAAATGTCCCCACTGTGACTATGCGGGCACCCAGTCAGGCTCGCTGAAGTACCACCTCCAGCGGCACCACAGGGAGCAACGCAACGCTTTGTCAGCCTCCTCCAATTCCTCCTCCAGTGGTCTCACCTCCACCATCAACAGTCTGACCTCTGGAACCTCTGGGCTGGCCAAGCAGCGCAGATCACAGCTCAATCACTGCCCGGTGAACCGAGGCCCAACCGACGCCCCCACCTCTCGGCCCGGCCAGCAGTCCTGGCTCTTGGGGCTCCCAGACCAGCGGGAGCATCGGAAGGCCTTGGCAGCTCTAAGGGATGTCGACTTGGAGACCCAGTACAGGTATCTGTCTGGGGTGATGGGGGCCCTTTACCAAGGTGGAATGGAAGGAGGCTGGATCAGGGAGTCTCCCCCACCAAAGGCCCCTAAAGTGTCCCGTCGGAAGCCTCTTACTACCAGCCGAATGGTTCAGCCGTCGAGTGACAAGGACGGACCTGCGTCTTCAACCCAAGAGGGTGGGTTTGAACCCCTGGATTTGTCCCGTCGCCCCTCACCTGGCCTCGGAGGGATGGAGGAGGATGGAGGCATGAGTGTAGGGGAGGGAGGAGGTGTCAGTGGCGGGGATGGCATTGGGGATAGTTCAACAGGGGTCAAACTGAGCCAGTGTTTGTTCTGCCCGTTCCGTACGTCCTCAGCGGAGCTAATGGCCATGCACCTCCAGGTCAACCACACCAGTAAATCCAGGCGCAAAAGAGCCCCCTCTACCGCCTTGGATGATGATGGAGCCCCAAAGGCCACCAAGCACCGCATGGATCAGCCTGACCTCGACTCTCTGACAATATGGAGGCATGCGACAGAGGCAGAGTCCCAGGCACCTTTGGGGGAATGGTCCTCAATGCAGGCCAAGACCCTGAACGGGCTCTCTGAGGATACAGAGGACCATCTGGACGACATCCTCGACCACCCGGACGTAGCCTCTGTATCCAAGAATGTCAGAGACGGTCTGGTGTTCAAGGGGAAGATGGAGGGGGATGAGGAAGAGCAAGAGGAGGAGTTGGAAGAGAATTTGGAGAACAGCAGTCTGGAGGACTCAGAGGACCAGGATCTGAGGATGTCTCTTGCTCTTTCACCAGCTCTGAGCTCCAACCACATGGTGGGAGAGGAGGAAAGAGTCTTAACAGATTAATTTGGGATGACACCGTTTAAATTGGAGAGTTGGGTTCAATGTTTTCAACCACATTTGACACGGGATTGAAGAAGGGGCAGGTAGCTTTGAGAAAGGAGGATTCTTGACCCCTGAGGGTTTGGAAAAGGACAGAGAGAAACATCACAGCTGTTATTTTCCCTCTGACATTATTCGTCTACTTCAGTTCCGACAGTGTGGTCATCCACAAAATAAACTTCCTGTACAAAAGAGCATAGATGCATCTTTTCGGGATTTTGTAGGCCACTTTCTATTTTTTTTTTCCAAGCTTCACTCCAAGATGGATGAATTTTTAAGGTGATCTCCTGTTTGATAAATGAAAGGAACATGTTTAAGATCTAAGGCATAATTCCTGCATCATTCCACATTTATTCCACATTAATAATATTGGACTGTATATCTCAGACTACTATACTGACCAAGCTAAAGCCAGCTGTGAAGAGATGCTCTCCTGACTGACCCCTGACCAGTTTGAAACCTCAAACTTCAAGTTCCTCCTCAACCTACACGGACACGGGGGAAAGTTTAGCCAGAAAGGTTTCAAGCTGTGCACCTCAGCTAAGCTATGTGGTATTAATTTAAGGCATGAGGTAACTGTTGCAGGCCATGTGCTTTCCCTCGACTATATATCACTGCCTTGTTTGTCTGAAAAGTGTTTCTACACGATTGTCCTGAAGAATAACTGAAAGAAACGTTTGTAACTTTTTTTTTTCCTTTTTCAGTTAGTGCCTGTTCATGTGCGTTGTCAAGAGAGTCTTTGGTATTCCTGCGCATCGAGGCTCCGATAGGTCACTCATTTTATCTGAATATACAGTTTAAAACAATTTAAGTACAGTATATTTGTTAAAAGTGGTTCTAGGGTGTTGTGAATAGTTAAGTTGTAAAAGAAATGCTACATCGTAGCGCCACGTCCCCGACGTAGACGGCGGACGTTTGTGGCTAAGCTTGAAAAGAAAACAAAAAAAGTAGGTGATATACATAATGTGATGAAAAAAAGGTCAAAGGCTGAGTGATAAAATGGGGTCAAAATTCAGTGTTTACAATAGCGCCGAATGCGGGTTGGGTTGTCAAGACAACGTAGATGCGTGGATAGGAACAAAACTCAGAGCGAGAGTCCGTTCGAGGGCCATAGCCTCCGAACACAATCAACTGACGTTATTTTAAAAGAGACAGAGACTTAGCAACTGTGTCAAAAAAGGAACAATTTCTCCACAGGAGAAAAGATACAAGGTAGAGACCGAAAAAGAAAGCAGTACCCCTGCCAAACAGGACTTAATCTGAGAAACAAACTGTACTCTTGGGGGTATGGTGTCTTTTAGATGAGTAGATTCCCTCTCTTCTTCTTCTTTTTTTTTTATAAGAAAAGAAAAGACAATGGTAGGAATAATTATTAAAACACTAACAAATGCATAGACATCCCAGTAGAATATGTGTAGCTTTTGTAAAGACAAGAAAAAAACAGCAGACTTTTGTTTATTTTCATTTCAAGATGCTTACAGAAAAAGGTTATCAATATAGGTAATATTGATTATAATGTTCGTGAGCTAAGACTAGTTGGAATGTCTATACAGAGCACTGTGCAAGGTTTGAGTTCCCAAAGTAGTTGTTTTTATTTTGACTTTAATCGATAGACCAAACGTTTTTTCAATGGAAGTTGTCACTTTTTGTTGTCGTTTTAAATGTGTAAAGCTGTGGTTTCCATAGATTTACCCCATCAATTAGTGGAGGACGGTCGATCGGTTGTATCAAATATCTAACCGTTGAACTGGTTGTTAAATTAAGTTCACATTCAAAGTCATTTTTTTTTGTGTAAACATCAACACGTCCAACACATTCTCACTCCAACCTCGTCACATATTGACGTTTGGGTCATGGACTTTCCACTTCCAGATACCATGTGCAAGGTACCCTGGGTGCGTTGGTTGTTGATGTTCTGGGACACCGTGTCAAGTTCTGCCTGTTACATGTGCTGTCATCTTTCAAAATACACTTCCGTTTTCACAGGAAATATATAGTTTATATACAGCCTCTCTTTGCCCCGTGAATTGACATTTTGTTTAAACTTCAACAACTAACGCATGTGGTTAGGTAAAGGCAACAAAAGCTCATGGTTAGGTCTAGAAAAAAAAGAACAGAGTTTGCCTTTATAATCTTACGGGATGCAAACACCGCTCTTGGGGTGAAAGTCAATACTTGTTGGACCCATCCACCAACCCTCCCAACCGCCTGACTAGGACTTTAACTTTAGATCTTGTGCTCCTTCCCGCTTGGCGCTAACCTATAATGGCGTCCAACCGTGTATCATGCCAACGTTAAAGGGCGACGTTTTTCCAGGCACTGGAGGTCACTGCCAAAAGCGGGATTTCGATGACTTTGGCAACACATTCTCATCCCGACCTTCTCACATATCCATGTTTGATCATGGATGTTCCAAATCCACATATAACGTGCAAAGAGGATGCTTCCGTATTCACAGCAAATTTACCGTTTACATACAGTCTCTTTCAGAATAAATGCACTATATCTGCGAATGAAGTTTTTTTTCCTTCAGACAAAATATGTGGTTGGGTTTAGATAAAAAGAACAGGGTTTGGCTTTATAATCTTATGGGACGAGAACACTGCTCTCTCGGATGAAAGTCGGTGTTTGACCCATCCACCAACCCTTCAGAACACCCTACTTGGACTTTTGCTGCCTTAACTTTCGTTCTTGTCCTGCTGCGTTTCCCCCTGATGCTGCTGGCCACTGTTAAAAGATAACGGAAACCAGCCATGTATCATGCTGATGTTAAAGGACGGCTTTTTTTCGTCTGTGTCTGACGCAGGAAGTCCCTGCCTAAGCACCGGATTGCGACGACTTCGGAGTGAGACCGGGTAGACACGTTTACTGCTATAAATGAAAACAATCACTTGCCATGAATTCTTGTGTTTTCAATAGGAAAAATTATAAAGTGAGACAGTACACTCTAAAAAATATTCATTCATTTGGTCAAAATCAAAACATCTTTGACATTTTTGTGTAGGATTGATGTAAATAAATAAGTTAGAATACCTTAAACATAAAGATTTGACCACCAAATAACACCACGACTTTTGGATATATATTAAGTTGGTTCAACTTAATTAAGCTTTTCGATGTTGAAGGTCTAAGGCCAGAGTTGGACGTACTTAAAAAGATGCAAGCAAATTGTTACCTTAATTTCTTTAAGTTGAATGAGCGGATTCGTCATCACATTGTCAAACAACCACTATTTATCTCCTCCGACTACTTCTTGATGGGGTATTCTATGATTGCAACCTCACCTTAATGTGCATTAATGTGTTTAAGTTCCTTTCTTTAGAGCACCTTATGAGTTTCATAGTGAAAAGTCCCTTAGTGGTGTCTCCTTAACAACTACTGTCAATGCCATCGTGCCTTCTGTTTCAAGCACTTCCTGGTGTATTTTGTAAAACTCACCAAAAGCACTTAGCCTATATCTACACACTCTTTTCTTCTTCCTCACTGTCTCCCCCCTCCTTTCTCCTCTTTTCTCTTCCTCTTCTCCTTCATCACCTCAGAACCATTCCCTTAATCTTTTTCTCGTGTCTTTACCTCTTGACCCCTCTCTTCTGAGGGAAGCTGTTTTCACACCAGACCTCTCTCTACTGTTCAGGCCCGTTCGGCCTTAAACAAGGTCACTAGGCCTTATTACAATCTAGCATGGCTAGACTCTTGAAAGAATGGACTACCTAACCTTTAGACGAGTAAAATAGATGTAGGGTTAGTCTACTTTTGGTCTTTATACTAATCCTTTGTAAACCAAAGCCCAAGTCTAATGAATATTATATTTAATCTCATAAATGTGCCAAAACATGTCCGAGGTGACACTAAAGCTCAACTTGAGAAAACGAAATAATTCACTTCTCTCTTTCAACTTTCTTTAACCCATCCTCCCCTCTTCTCTCTCTCTCTCTCCGTCTTTCTCTCATGCTTGCTCTTCCTCCATGTCGCTCTCTCGTCCGTAAACTGTCGATCTCTAGCACCACTTGAAGGTGACGTGTACTATCTGGTATTGAGGCCTTTATTAGATTTTTATTTCAGTTCGTGTGGTGTTTGTTCAATGCCGTTGAGATGGAAAAATGCTCTTCTTATAATGATAATTATTATTGTTTTGGCATTATGGTTAAAAAACAAAAACAAAACAAAAAAAAAGAGACATGTGTTGTTGAATGTTGTACAGATAGCACTAGAGATGTTGTGTTTTTTTAAAGAGAGCACAAACCTGAGTGATGGTCCCTTCTACTCCTCCCACCGGCAGATGGGAATAAAACAGCCTGCCAATCAATCTAGATGTCTAATGACAAAAATGTCCTCGGTGATGACAGATTTTCAAAACAAATACTTTTGTCTAAGTAGCGTTCTTCTCTGGAGATTTGAATGTAAAAAGGCAGCCTTCGAGTCAAACTCTACTCCCTGTTTTCACACAGAAAACAAATCCTCTCTGAAAGACTGAAGCAGCACTTGAGCCAATATTCTTACTCTTCTAAAGGTATAGTTTGATTTCAGAGTCACGTTTTTGCCTGTTTACTATGAAACATATGGGTGACTATAATGTATCCATAAGCAGTCTGTGCAGTAAGTAAGTCAAACAGGAAGTTAAGCCCACTTTGGCTCATGTATCCATGGGATCAGTAGGCGTGTCTTTGAAAACTGCTGAAATACACCTTAACATTATTCCAAAGATTTACAGTTGGTCTATTTCAACCTCTTGTTAAATTAAAAAAGTGTTAATAGAGGTGATAATTTCACATAAAGACGTGAGATGTTGTCAAACTTCTATTTTTGTGTGCCACCAGCCACAGTGCAGGAAGATAGAATTGTTCCAAAATCCCCAGTGGTAAAGGCGTATTTCCCAGTTTATGAGAGGTACTCGTACTGATATGGAAGCAAAAAAGAGACATGAGTATTTTGATTTTAATTTGAACAACCAATGAATACACCATTGAATTCATAGAACTGAAATATTTCTCTTTGAAAACCAGGTACCTGAATTCATTTGTTCTGAATTATTGAATTCTGAATTTACCTCTTTGGAATAAAAACATAACATTTCTTGATCTGCAATTTTAAAAGCTGAATTTGGATCATTTTTTCAATGTAAACAAAATCAGATCAAAAACTTCAAGTTTCAGAATTTCAATAGATAAAATAAAGAGACATAAAATTATATAAAATAAAATGACAAAATAAAATAAAAATAGGTTAAGTTTGCTGAAAACTGACAAGTCAAAAATTCAAATAGCAATGTTTATTTACAATCACTTGCACATAAATAGCAGAAACCGGATGACTTACTGTCCCATCGTCCCATCATCCCATCGTTCTCCCTGGTAGTCATCTTTGGATTTGAATTTTCTAACCATTTTTTGTGCTCTAATAGGGCTGAAGTCGGTTCTTTTGCATTTAAAATGTTGCTCGTGGATTTTTTTTTTTAATTGAGAAACCCAGAAATTTTTGATCTGAATTTGTGAACAATGAATATATATATATATTCAAATTCAGCCTTTTGCAAATAAAGAAATTCAACCAGTTTGCATCCCAACTAATCAAATACTGGTGCTTTGTCAGTGTCAAAATGTAGTTCGACATTTGTAGACAACGTCTCAATTGACGGTTGATACATGCATTGTGTCTTTTTCAAAATAAAGTTACATAGGTAAAACACTTTGGTTTTAGGTTTATTTCCAGAAGTTTAGGCAACACTAGTTAATGGTAAGGGTTTAAAAAAATCATGGTTTGGCTTTAAACAAACACAGTTGTTACTAATGTAATGTAATGTCAGGTGTCATGTGACATACATCAAAAGGTCAGTTTAGACACATGATTTTCAGAGTAAAGTATATCAATGCTGAGTTAAGTGGTGTTTAAATTTCAATATTCAGTATTCACGTACTTGCTTCCGTACACTTCCACTGATTGAGCAAACTACCGTCAAAGTTCGCAAGAAGACGTAATAGTGCGTCGCTGAGTTCGTCTGAGTTTCATAAATGGCAAAAAACCTCCACAAAGCAAACTATGCCTTTACATTTGCACTTGATTTCAGCTGAATAAAATGTGGCTCCCTTTTCAAACACCTGAAAATTTGCACCTTATCTCCTGATTGTGAATCAGATAATTTCACCAAAAGCAGAACGATTTAGTGGCTATCATGGGCTGACCCTCCACACGCAGTATCTGTAGGTCTGATTGTTTTGAAGGCGTCGTTCATTGTGAAATGACAAATCTTTGCGAGCTGAGGGGGCCATGCTGGGTTTGAGCTCTTGTGTAGTTGACTGCCATTGCAGTGAGGGAAAACTGATCTAACATAGTAGTGACTAATATGACTTTGTGGACAGATAAAAAAAGAATAAAAATAAAACACATTAGAAATAAATAAAAACATGCAAAATAACCTCTTGTCTCTGTTTTTCATGTCTTTTTACACCTGATGCCATTTCACTCTTACGTTTGAAATACTCAAGATGGTAAACACACCATATGATGACATCATAATCCCGAGACTTCTGACCAATCATCAGCTCTGAATATGTATTTATTGCTTGTAAAATGTGTTCATGTCAAGAGAAGTTGAGGACACCTCAGTACATTTCACAGCCTGAATCAAACAACATTTAGAGGAGGGAGCCCTCTTGTGGCTTTAAGTAGAATTGCAGGAATTATGAGGGACTCCTCAATCATCCCCTACTGACTTGATCTTTGTTTCTGCTCCGAGGTTATAGAAGAAGCTCTAAAGGTGTTACAATGGTGAACAATTCAATTTGAGAATGAGTGTAATAAGGAGAATGAGTAAGCGGCCCTTGAGAACAGTTTGTTAC